GCAACCATTTACACCTGTTTGGTACAAAAAGGTATTCATGAGCCCCATCTTAATCAACATAAAATGTTCATTATGTAACAGAAGGTGTTGTTTAACCATGGAGGAGAAATCAGTATATAGGACACTGACTTTCCTGATCCTACTAAAAAAGTAAATGTTCAAATCAAAATCCCCTCTATACAAAAACATTAACTTTCTACTCAACCACAATATCACTCCTTTTGGTAAATCAATCTTGACTAGCAGCATGTCTTTTTACATTATTAAGGGGATTTAAGACATCCATCATCTGTTCTTGCATCTACCCCCAGTTTGGCCTACATTGGGGTCATCTTGATCTCTCATAAAGCCCCAAAGTTTCTTTAAACATCTTTCTTATTTTCACAAACCTATATACATTCCAATCTAGACACTAAAACAGACTCAGTTGTATCATCCTTTCGTCTAATTTATTTCTCCCTCTTTTGGAGAATCGGGGTCGACTAACAAATGCAGAAACTGTCCAATCAAAAGCCATGCCTAACCATCAACTTTTATGAAATCCTCTAGGCATAGTACATCTTATTTTCTTTTCCTTTTTCCATATTTAACCCGAATATATCATATTCAAAGAAATTCAGTTTAAAACATTAGTGAACAAACTAGACATCGTAAACTTAAACAGGGATAGACAGATTAATATTTTAAGATATGCTATTTTTAATAACATTTTCACCTATATACATGTTGCTGATGGAAAGAAGTTTATCACGATCTTCTGCACTACCAGTAAATGAATGGGCCACCCCTGCGCTGAATCTGTGAAATAGCAGAGGAAATGTAACAAGTTCATGCACAAAGCACAGACACTGCTTTCCCCCGTCAAGTCATTTTTTTCAGTTTTATTCTACTTTCCCCGTCAACCAGAACTAGGGAATTTGAGGGTGGGCGAAAATTTAAAAAGAGAAAAGAAAGAAAATAAATAGGGATAACTTAACCAGCACATTTTGATTATAGAATTATGGTGCTCACAGCATTCTCACCTGCTCCTATTTCTCTCCACAATTTCACAAAAATCTGGAGCAGCTGCACGCATATGCAGAAACATGGGCAGCTTAGTGGCATGTGCTAATTCAAACTGCTTCTCAAAATACCTAGATTTTGCAATACAGAAAAATGATGGGAACGACAGAATGTATCATTTGATCGAAAGAAAAGTAATAGGGAACAAGCAGAAAATGGAGAAAAAGAAAATCTTTCAGAAACCACATACTTCTTTTGAATCTCTGCTGGGCAAAACTGAAGCCTATCATAGTCCAATCCACATTCACCAATTGCAACCACCTTACAAACACAAGGGAGAACAAATTAAGCAGCATAAAACATATTACTTCCTGATATCAATATCTGAACAGACCACTCTTTTTAAGAACCTGATAGTGCATGCCTTATTTTCTTCATGATAAAGAGAATGGGCCGTTGGGTATGGGACATACCTTTCCTTTCTCTATTCCCTCTTTGGCCAATGACAAAAGCGCCTGAAAATGCTTATCTGGATCCCCACTCTCTTCGAATTCCTAAACAGAATACACAAAACACAATAAGCCTAATTCACTCACAAGCATCTCTAATCCAAGCCCAAAATCAAACAAATGTACATTTCAACTATTTCCACACAATTATGATATAAAAAATAGCAAACCTTGCATCTAGTTGGGTGCACACCAACTGTACAAAAAAGCCTTGCTGCAAAAAAACAGAGGAAACCCCACATTTGTTGCTCAAAAGATACATTTTTGAAACTTGACAATGATATTTATATACTACAATATAGTAATCGCAACAAAACGGAGCAAGTGAAAAAAACCATCGGTTTCTGCAATTGTTAGAGCTTCCTTTGATTCCTCAAGTGATCCACCAGTGACCTACATTATCCATAAGCCTAATTCTAATTTCAGAGCGCATTAAACCATAATAATTAGCTAACTATTATATGCTCAAAAAGAAAATAAACAAAGAAAGAGAGAAAGAGAATTACGATGATGCGGTCGACGCCGGCAGTCCAAGCCCTGCTCAAAACCGTAGCTATATCCGAGACGTGGCACTGCTTCCCATTGTAGATTCCTTTGAACATTCCATCTGTTTTCTTTTTCAATTTCAGTTTCGATACTCGAATTTAAGAAGCAAAAATGGTATGAGAAGTGTTTGATGAAATGCCTCACCTGTGAAGTTGACGGCTATATCTGTACTTGGTGTCACCAAAACCGCAGAGAGAGAGAGAGATAGAGACTAATTAATTGCGTGTAAGAATGAATGAATGAAGGTATTGATGTGGAAAGAAAGGATTTTGGAAGAGCTACTTGCCAATCATGCGGACTGTCGCCATAGCCAAGCTGATAGCGAGAGTGAAAGGAAAGACCTGCTGATATTACTAAAATCTCGTTTTGCTTTTGGTTTGTGACGGGAAAGCTCCGGTTTGGTCTGGTTTAGAGCACAAATTCTGAACAGAAATCGGTCATAATTATAAACCAATATAATTGGGTCCGTTTAGCCCATTTTGGGTGAGGGTTTCAAGAATCGAGCTTTGAATATGTTCAAGTTCAATATTATCATACGGTTGGATTGACCTCTCAGCATAGTCTCTCCACGAGGTTTTTTTTTTAATTTTAAATTAAAAAAAATAATGGGTAGTGTTCCTTAAAAATAGAATTCATTATCTGATTTTTCTTTTAATTTTAATTTTTTTAATATGAAAAAGTGTGAATTTACTATATTATTCTCATTTAATTAATAATTTCAATTCTTAATGTTTGCATTAACCAAGGGCATTTTTTGATATTTTGAATGTTTTACCATTCTCTACCTTTTGCTTTATTTATATAGATAATTTGAGGCTTTAGTTCTAGGATTAGAGAATTGGTCCGTAAGGAGAATACTTTGTTACAAAATTCTATTAAACTAGTTGGAAATTTTTAAAAAAAATTGATCAAACAAATTCTTTAACAGAGAAAAATGCTACATATCATATAAATATCCCATCAAAAAATACACCCTTCGTTCAAAAAATCAAATATACTTACAATATACATAGAGAGCACCTCCAGTATTAAAAAAAATATATTAATAAAGGAAAATAAAAACAAAAGTATAGATGGACGACCGCACGCAGACTTTGCCAAACACATATCAATTTCATTCACTGCATAATTATAATTCATCTAAATTTTTCCGATTGCCTATAAAATATTTGATCTATGTACTTAATTAGTCAGCGTTGAGGCCAAAATAATGCCGACGATGATGAGCAAGATTATGATGCCATAGCAGGTCCATTTTCGGGTGTTTTTCTGCAAGAACCTGGCCTTCTGCAACTGCTGAGTGCCGGAATGCACGTACGAATTAGCTCGCTCCACGTGGCTCTGAATGTTAGCCCTAAAGGTTTTCAGCTGCTGGTGAAAATGGTTTTTCCAGTACCCTTTTTATTTGCAAATTCCTATTAGTTCTTATTCAGGATAAGAAAGAATCTTTATGTGGTATAGTTGCAGTAATTGAAAACACGTTTCTGTTTAATTTAACTAGCAGACCTTGGGATGGAAAATAAGCAGTGGCCAACTGGCAATACAGTGTAACTGACTTATTGTGAAGTAAGAACAACAAAGTGGGACTTAGTTGTTAAAGTAGATATAGACAAACATCACAAAAGGAACATCTTTTTCATGAAATGAATAACCATCTTCTGTTTGAAGTTTGACTAAGCATTGACAGATGGCACAGTTGTGTGGTCATAGCACCCACATCTATTTGGTATCCAAAATTCTTCGTAATGTAAATCAAACATATTGCACATGTTATTTAGAAAGTTGGTTCTTGAAAATTTAATTTGTCATATCAAATGGTTTGAATGGTGCCACTGTATACCCTGAGTACCCATCTCTGTCCTGTAAATGTTGAAGTTTTTTTCTTCATCATGCATGGGAAATGTAAAGAAGGGTTTCTCTTCCCCGAAAGATCTGGTCTGGTTTGTTGAACTATCTAGTCCAGTGCTAATTTACAGAGGATGTAACTAATTGTACCTTCCGTTGGAGTGTAATTACCAATTCTCAAAAATGCTAGAGAAAGAGTATGAAAATGATGAAATTGGTTGTACAGGGAAGCAATGCGTACAAAAGAAATAATAGCAAGAACCATGCTCTTTTTAAAATAGAAGTTATTAGATTGTAATCATTATTTAGTAATCTGGGAGTGGAAAATTTGAAGTACATGACACCTTTAAGGGCACCCAGGGGAGGAGAGGACTTTAGCATTGATGACTGGTGAGGCTTATGAGCAGCCTATTTAAAGTTTGCTTGTGTTACTTCGTTTCACACACTTTTGTTCCAAAACGCCCACCAAATGCTGCCTTGTAGGGATTAGGTCCAAGGTAACAGCATTACTTGGGAGAAATTGTATCCAACATTGGACTTGAATCAATTAGTACAAAGGTTGGGTGTTAGTTTTAGAAGCATTCTGGGGTCATTTCCAGTACTATTGACTACAAATATAGAAAAATATCTGTAGAAGCGTGGGAAGTTAATTTGCAGTACCTCTACTGGGGTAGAAAATAAACTCTTGAAGATTCACCTGCTGAGTAGACATCCCAGTATGCAGACATTACTTGATAAATGAACGATAATACTATTCTGTGACAATAGTATTAGAACATACTAGAATGCCTTAACCGAAAACTTTCTATTCTCCCTCACAAGCCCTTGTTAAGTAGAGGGGAAAACAAAACCTTACTGATGGATGAAATATCATCTAGTTCACATATCTTTGTTTCACAACTTGTTTAAAATGATTTCCTTCTCCAATGAAACCCAGGTTTTCATTCTTTGATTGTACTTTTGGTTGTAGACTTAATTTGATTATCATCTTGACAGAAATATGTATAACAAAATTTTGATACGCAAAATATGAAAATATGCACATAGAGGTTTTAATTTCTATCAAAGCTCTTTTTTGTTTTTGGAAAGGTTTTGATACCCGAAAGCTCTTCCAACTCTGGGCACTTCTGTTCAATCATGGCTAACCAGCAAAGTAGTTTCTCAGTTGGGTTTAATTGTTAATTTGCAGGGGATGGTCAAAAATCCCAGGCAGCAATCTCCCTGCAATCATCTCCGCAAAAATATCGTGCTCATTTTGAGCTGGGATTCAGCCAGCCTATGGTAAGCCTTTCTTTTCTTTTTTATATTTTTTGAATTCATAACTTTTTAGGACTAGTGAATATGGTTTTGGTGACTCTTGCTTATTACTTGGTTCTTTGTTCTGGACTTGAACTGCAGATCTGTGCAAAATATCCATATATGGATCAATGTTATGGACTCTTCTCAACATATGGACCTCAAATTTCAGTGAGTCTTTTATCATTTCTCCTACCTCTTTGTATGTGGATCTGCGCTATTGCAATTATGTTATTCTTGCAAAGAGATTTTCATTTTCTTTTTTTTCTTTAACTTTAGAATATTCTATCTTTTCCTTGGTAGCATATTTAAAGGGAAATATGAGACATAGAACTTGTTTTAGTACGAGTTTCATTCTATTAATTTCGTAGTGAAACATGCTCTTCTTTGTGTCTCCTGATACTATAGTTATGAAAACTAGAAACCATTTTTAGGATTAACTTGGAAAATCTATCTTTATTCCCCTGTCTGTGCACGAGCATGAGAATTAGCACGTCTCTGCTTGTCTTTGATATTTTACTCTGATTAAAAATTAAGCAATGTCAAGACAAGCAGAGAATTCATTTCTTAAGGAAAATAATAAGAAACCTTATATAGAAGCGAAAGAGAAATTCCACCTAAATATTAGTAAAGAAAAGAGCCAATTGAAGCCGCATTATCAGTCAGTAAGTGCTGTTCATACATCAGAAAGTGTGGTTTCAAATGTCATCAGGTAAATATAAGGTTATACAGGTTTTGTATATATGAGTTTTACTCTTCAAAGGATCTTTGTTGTTGCTTGGCTGTTGCTCTACATTTTTCATGATATGTTCTTAAGTTTGGCAAATTTACTGATGCACATACTCGTCCATTTGCAATGGATTAGGGGCGCATTATGCTGCCGCTGAACTTGACTGCCGATGAAGGACCAATCTATGTAAATGCTAAGCAATACCATGGGATCATCCGCCGCCGACAATCCCGTGCCAAGGCAGTCATGGAGAACAGAGCAGCTACACTTCGTAAGGTATGATATCTCAAAATTTCACTATCTGTAAGGGGGAAACATCAATATAATGTGACTGCTGTAAAGGTATTCCAAAAGTTGATTACTGTCACTGGATGGAAAATCTGAATGTTTTACATGAAATATGAAGTGACAAGTTTAGGCCACCTAGATTCTTGGCTTCTTGTTTCAGATAAAACAACATAATTTAGCTACTTATGGAATTCTTGGATTGATAGTCATCCATCCACCCAATTGTTTGGCCTATTGGATATGGGTGGATGTCTTTATTCATTTGGTTTTTCAATTCAAGATCTTTTTGGTTTTCAAGGGAGTTTAAAAATTTGACCAGCTTTAATATTTTATAAAATAGGTATAAGTAAAATGACAACTTTACCAAATTTCCAGTAGGATATATTATTCAAAACCAAAATGCACATCTGAGGAAAAGATTTTTCTCTTTTATTTAATGACCTATAATCTTTCTTATTGATATAGCCATATATGCATGAGTCACGCCATCTTCATGCACTGCGTCGACCAAGGGGATGTGGTGGTCGTTTTCTGAACACAAAGACTATGAACATTGGGAAAAACGAAACTGAAGGGACGCAAGTTGGTGATGGACAGCTGTTTAGGCACTCTGGTTCTCATAGTTCTGAACTCCTGCAATCTGAAAGTGGAACCTTAAACTCCTCAAAGGAAACAAATGGCAGCAGTTCAAACATATCAGGGTCAGAGGTGACCAGCGTGTACTCTAGGAGAGATCTTGATCGTTTTTCCATCAATCATCTCGGTCCCTCTGTGCACTCTCTGTCAGACATGATGGATAGTGTGCGTGGTATGGTCATTCCAACCAAATGGGTTGCAGCAGGAGATAACTGCTGCAACCTCAAAGTTTGATAGCAAGGGAAAAGGTGGGGTTGGTGCGAACTTGTTGCGCTAGCCCCATCTATTCCACAACCAGATGGAGAAGCTTTGTTGCAGTTTCTGTTATGGTTATTGCAACAGCTTTTGGTTCTAGGATTGCCCGCCCCCATCTGGTTGCTATCAAAGGCAACTCATTCTTGGCTCATGTACGGATAGGTTTTCCTGCCATTCCATGCAATCATCCTGCTCGCTCGGGTGGCTAGCGAAAACCTTGAAGCTACATAAAATTAATGCAGTAGACTACATATGAATACAAATATATGATATGTATGGCTTTCTTCCCATAAGTCTGAATAAGAACTTGAGAGTCTGGTATGCGTTTGTGATCTAAACTAAACAGGCTAAATTGTTGTGTAATTCTCTAATATCTAGTATCTGGATTTTTGACCTCCTGGGTTGGTGTAATGTATAACTTAATGTTGTGTTGTTTGAAGAATAATGTATTATATCTTAAGAACAGTGGATGTCCTCTTTATTATTATTATTATTATTATTTTCTCTTTCTGCCAGTTTACTTTCAAGGGAGGAAAGACTTCATCATTTTGTAAGACAGCATTTTTGCCTCATTGATTGAACAACAGCTCTTTCAATCACCTTTAAAAAATATAATATACTAGATTTGCCATCTTTTAAAATAAAAAGTTTAAAAGTGAAATGGTGAATGCCATGCATCCTCAAACATCCTCAAATTAATTAGTCAAATGGTAAATGTCATGCATGATTTTGCCCATAATAGCACATAATCTCGATATGAACAACTTTTGAATGATATTTTGTTTCAATGAGGAGTTTTGAAATCTCCCTCTATTACTTAGGTACTTAATCAATGGTTCAGCTTAGTGAAAAAAGGTCTTGACTTGTAGATTTATGTTTGAATTCTCATGACACCTTTGTAGTGTGTGAGAAATTTTCCTAATTTGTAGTTTAGACTATCGTTTGTATTCAAAGAAGAAAAAAATTCTAAACCCCCATCTGAGAAAATAAAAACCCCAAACAAAACAAAATATAGATTAAATTATCAAATGAAAATCCAAAGAGCCGAGCAAACCTTATCCATGCCAATAGTCAATTGCAAAGCCCCTCCCCTGTCTTCTACTTGGAGACCTTCCCCAACCAAAAGCCAACTTTTCAATCCCACCATTTCCTCTCACAATGCTAGCTTCCTCTCTATCCATGGCTTCTACAAGTACTTCTTGTTCTTCTTCACTCTGCAACAAAATCTCCAACTTCTCAATCCCCCACTCACCCACCCCAATCCCAAGCCACTTCCCGCCACATATTAAACCCCCTAAACCCCTCAAGCTCAAAGCCCATTTCCCCACCTTCTCTCGCCTCTCTTCTCTCACCCAATTTCGCCGCCCTTTGGCGGCCTTCGACGGTTTCGAAGTCGAAGAAGACAGGGATAGTGAAGAACAACAAAACCCAGAAGCAGAACCCATTGAAAAGGAAGAAGAACAAGAACAAAGAGAGGAAGAGCCGAAGGTAGCGTCTTACAATGACGCTGGGAGGCTCTATGTAGGGAATTTGCCTTATTCTTTGACTTCAACCCAACTGGCTGAGGTGTTTGGTGAGGCGGGCACTGTGGTTTTCTCAGAGGTTTGAGCTTTTCTTCTTTGTGATTCCATTGTTTGCTTTAATGGGTTTGTAGAATTTTTGATGATTTTGTTTGTGGGTTTTTGTTGAATTTTGTTGCAGATTATTTATGACAGAGTCACAGATAGGAGCAGGGGATTTGGGTTTGTTACAATGTCAACTGTGGAGGAAGCTCAACAGGCCATTCGGATGTTTGATGGCTCTGTAAGTATCAATCAAATTTGGTTGTGTTAGTTGATTTTTGAATGCAATAACTTTTTTTTGGGGGGGTTTTATGTATTTATTAATTTATTTGTTGGTGATGATGAAAATTTTGATAGCAAGTAGGAGGAAGAAATGTGAAGGTGAACTTCCCAGAAGTGCCAAAAGGAGGGGAAAGGGAAATATTGGGACCCAAGAGCATAAGGAGTGGGTTCAAGGTGTACATAGATAGCCCTCATAAGATTTATGCTGGAAACCTTGGCTGGGGCCTGACTTCACAGGGTCTCAAAGATGCCTTTGAAGGGCAGCCAGGGCTGTTGGGTGCCAAGGTCATATATGAGAGGGGTTCTGGAAGATCCAGAGGTTTTGGGTTTGTCACTTTTGAAACTAATGAGGCTGCAGTATCTGCTGTTGCTGCCATGAATGAAGTGGTAAGAAAATTTTGTTAACCCCTCATTTGGTACGCGGTATAGGAAGGAATTGACTGGCTTATGTTGTCAGACTCTAAATATGAACCACTGATCAAGTTGATTCTTGCCCGCATGTGTGGCTCACACTCAAATGGCAACATAAGCATTTGTCTGACAACATAAGTAGGTCTAATGCGATCTAGTACGGGGTACCAAATGAGTAATGGCAATTGATCCTTGTGATTGATATTGTGGTTCCATAATAATCCGTTTGTTTGTGTGTGGAATTGAAAAACAGGAGGTTGATGGGCGGCCTTTACGATTAAATATGGCTGCAGAAAGAGCTAGGACTGTTTCTGTTTCCTCCTCGCCAGCATCAGAAGCAACTGCACAAGACACAGACAGCAGCGAAGTGGTTTCTCCTCCAGCATCAGAAACAACAACCGCAGAAAACACAGACAGCAGCGAGTTGGTGTCTCCCCCAGCATCAGAAACAACGACAGAAGATGCTGGCAGCAGTGAATTGGTTTCTTCTAGCGTTAGCGTCTGAATTCCGGGGTTATTATTGAAGAGGAGTGGGTGCTTGAATGTGGGTTATTCTTGCTTCAATATCCTGTTCCTTTTCCACAGCTGTGTGCAAATTGCCAAGTTGGTATGAGGCAAATTCGAGAGTTAAAATGGTTTTCCTTTTTGTTTGGTAAGAGCAAGAGTTACATGGTTTTAGAGCAAATGTGCATGCAGTTAACGTAGGCACAACAAGGTTGCCTAGTACCAGTTTTGTGCCACAAAAACTGATATTTGAGGCAGTGGCTATAGGTCCTGTAACAATGGCAGAATCCAACTCTTAATCGGCCCTGTATTTTTACTTTCATTCAATTAGTGCATTGATACGCTTGTCGTATACTGATAATGAATTATAATTAATAATGTAATTTCTTTTACATTATATATAAAAGAGAGGAAAATATTTCAAATTAATATTATTGCTACGTAAAAAATAAGTCACCTTCCATTTTCAGTTCATGCCGACGACCTGCCAGTGTGTTTTTTTTATTCATCCGCTGGGATTTCTTTCTATTTTTTAGTCTTTTTAAAAGTTCAATTTGTTGACTACGGAAGTGCATCAATGTTTTTAACTAATTTTAGTTGCAAGTATGTTAGAACCTAATAGAGCTTTTTGAAAGCAACGACAATTTACTAATACAGCCTGAGAATAAATAATTTGATCTCTAAAACATATTTGATAAATCCTCAACTCAATAATAAAATGAATCCTCTATTTTCATAACTGGAGGTAGCTGGCAAATAAAAATACAGAATGGAGTTTAACTAAATATGGCTACTATCCACCGATGATGAATGTCACTTTCAGAAGGAAAATAAATAAAAAAGTGACATGTCTCGAGATATAAAAGAGGAACTGAATAACCTTCGGCGGGAAGGAATTTGGTTTTGTCACTGAGGGTCATGACCAGCAAGTAGAGAATCTGCTGCAGAATCCAAGTCCTGAGGAAAGAAAACCCTGCACAACAGTAAGTTGTTATGAAGCAAACCTCATACCTTACAATGACCCGTGAATAAAGCACCACAGCGACAGACTCTACTGGCAAATATGGGATGTAACTACTGGTCTGATCATGCTCAGGTTGCAATGACAAAACTCATAAAATCTGCCATACAATGTGAATTGGTGTTCCAGCAGAGAGAGCTACGAGTTTACTCCATGAGGTCCACTACACATCTAAAGAAGATGCAGACAGTCCAAAAAGTTCAAGAAAAATTACCGGCAAGTGTTGTGGTATAGTGTCCTGCTCAGTTGACCTATTTCACTGATTCCTTTGCAACCAGCTACCACCTCTAGAACTTGCCTGGAAACAACAAACATGTTGAATTAAGAAGCAGATACATAATTTAGAAGCTTAAAACAAAAACCACTTCAAAGGAACATGCCAAGAGACACCTGTTGACATAGAATTTGAAATCACTAAGGTCAAACTATATGTCAAGTTATGAAAGAGAAGACACAGAAGATCCAGAATGCAATATTAAGGCAAACAAGAATGTAAAATATTCACGTTTCAGAACAGTAAGGTTGTCCCAACAAAGATAAATACATGGGTAGTCCATTATAAAACACTTCCATCTGACAAATATAATTTCCCTACTAGACACATCACACACCTTCAGTTCTTATATAACACCTTGTGACATAAGATTATTAGATATCTTATTGTAAATACTATGCAGTACTGGGACTTCTTACAGGAGTGATTTCTAATTAGGTGAAATTACTTTTCACTGAACAGTATAACAGGTCAACTCATGCTGTAAGAGTTTTCTGCGTACACATTACAGGTTCATTATTCTTCTTCTTTTCACATAAGGAAAAGTAAATAAAAAGTTCATGGTATGGTGGTAGGAAAACATTTCCACTTACCGAACCAAACACGGTTCATTGCGGTCTTTAACAATGCACTCTTGATCGTACTTCTCTTTCTTCTTAGAAGGCCAAGTGGACTTTACAAATTTAATCCCGGCACTTGTGTTCTTGATTCCACAATATGGAGAATCTGTCTCAATCATCATCCTCTCAATAGGAATGCTCCTCACAACATCGAGATTCTCAGTTGTCTTCAGAGAGCAACCATTTACACCTGTTTGGTACAAAAAGGTATTCATGAGCCCCATCTTAATCAACATAAAATGTTCATTATGTAACAGAAGGTGTTGTTTAACCATGGAGGAGAAATCAGTATATAGGACACTGACTTTCCTGATCCTACTAAAAAAGTAAATGTTCAAATCAAAATCCCCTCTATACAAAAACATTAACTTTCTACTCAACCACAATATCACTCCTTTTGGTAAATCAATCTTGACTAGCAGCATGTCTTTTTACATTATTAAGGGGATTTAAGACATCCATCATCTGTTCTTGCATCTACCCCCAGTTTGGCCTACATTGGGGTCATCTTGATCTCTCATAAAGCCCCAAAGTTTCTTTAAACATCTTTCTTATTTTCACAAACCTATATACATTCCAATCTAGACACTAAAACAGACTCAGTTGTATCATCCTTTCGTCTAATTTATTTCTCCCTCTTTTGGAGAATCGGGGTCGACTAACAAATGCAGAAACTGTCCAATCAAAAGCCATGCCTAACCATCAACTTTTATGAAATCCTCTAGGCATAGTACATCTTATTTTCTTTTCCTTTTTCCATATTTAACCCGAATATATCATATTCAAAGAAATTCAGTTTAAAACATTAGTGAACAAACTAGACATCGTAAACTTAAACAGGGATAGACAGATTAATATTTTAAGATATGCTATTTTTAATAACATTTTCACCTATATACATGTTGCTGATGGAAAGAAGTTTATCACGATCTTCTGCACTACCAGTAAATGAATGGGCCACCCCTGCGCTGAATCTGTGAAATAGCAGAGGAAATGTAACAAGTTCATGCACAAAGCACAGACACTGCTTTCCCCCGTCAAGTCATTTTTTTCAGTTTTATTCTACTTTCCCCGTCAACCAGAACTAGGGAATTTGAGGGTGGGCGAAAATTTAAAAAGAGAAAAGAAAGAAAATAAATAGGGATAACTTAACCAGCACATTTTGATTATAGAATTATGGTGCTCACAGCATTCTCACCTGCTCCTATTTCTCTCCACAATTTCACAAAAATCTGGAGCAGCTGCACGCATATGCAGAAACATGGGCAGCTTAGTGGCATGTGCTAATTCAAACTGCTTCTCAAAATACCTAGATTTTGCAATACAGAAAAATGATGGGAACGACAGAATGTATCATTTGATCAAAAGAAAAGTAATAGGGAGCAAGCAGAAAATGGAGAAAAAGAAAATCTTTCAGAAACCACATACTTCTTTTGAATCTCTGCTGGGCAAAACTGAAGCCTATCATAGTCCAATCCACATTCACCAATTGCAACCACCTTACAAGCACAAGGGAGAACAAAATAAGCAGCATAAAACATATTACTTCCTGATATCAATATCTGAACAGACCATTCTTTTTAAGAACCCGATAGTGCATGCCTTATTTTCTTCATGATAAAGAGAATGGGCCGTTGGGTATGGGACATACCTTTCCTTTCTCTATTCCCTCTTTGGCCAATGACAAAAGCGCCTGAAAATGCTTATCTGGATCCCCACTCTCTTCGAATTCCTAAACAGAATACACAATACACAAGAAGCCTAATTCACTCACAAGCATCTCTAATCCAAACCCAAAATCAAACAAATGTATATTTCAACTATTTCCACACAATTATGACATAAAAAAGAGCAAACCTTGCATCTAGTTGGGTGCACACCAACTGTACAAAAAAGCCTTGCTGCAAAAAAAAACAGAGGAAACCCCACATTTGTTGCTCAAAAGATACATTTTTGAAACTTGACAATGATATTTATATACTACAATATAGTAATCGCAACAAAACGGAGCAAGTGAAAAAAACCATCGGTTTCTGCAATTGTTAGAGCTTCCTTTGATTCCTCAAGTGATCCACCAGTGACCTACATTATCCATAGCCTAATTCTAATTTCAGAGCGCATTAAACCATAATAATTAGCTAACTATTATATGCTCAAAAAGAACACAAAAGAAGAAAGAGAGAAAGAGAATTACGATGATGCGGTCGACGCCGGCAGTCCAAGCCCTGCTCAAAACCGTAGCTATATCCAAGACGTGGCACTGCTTCCCATTGTAGATTCCTTTGAACATGCCATCTGATTTCGTTTGAATTCAGTTTCGATACTAGAATTTAAGAAGCAAAAATGGTATGAGAAGTGTTTGATGAAATGCCTCACCTGTGAAGTTGACGGCTATATCCGCACTTGGTGTCGCCAAAACGGCAGAGAGAGAGAGAGATAGAGACTTATTAATTGCGCGTAAGAATGAATGAACGAAGGTGTTGATGTAGAAAGAAAGGATTTTGGAAGAGCAACTTGCCTATCACGCGGACTGTCGCCATAGCCAAGCAGATAGCGAGAGGGAAAGGAAAGACCTGCTGATATTACTAAAATCTTGTTTTGCTTTTGGTTTGTTTTTGGTCTGGTTTAGGGTTTCAACAATTGACAATTGAATATGTTTAAGTTTAATATTAGCATACAGTTGGATTGATCCCTCAACATAGTCCCTCATTATATAAACTTTTTCTTTTATAGTTTGATGCTTTATGGGATGTATCCAATTCTAACTTTTAAAGACTTTTTTTAAGTGAATGACTTTTCTAAAGTTGACAGATTCTTAATGATCTTTACATACTTTATAAAGTAAAGTGACAAACTTTCATATACTTTTGTCATAGAGTTTTATAATCTTTTAAATATAGGGGTGGGCACGGTACGGTATTGAGCCCGTACCGCTACCGATACCGGAAATTTAAATCGGTATGGTACGGTATGGAATTATCGTTTGTCAAAATTGGTACCGTACCATACCGTACCGTGTCGGTATTGGTACAGTATCGGTACCATTTCGGTACAAAAATGACACAACTAAAAAATGAACCAATTCAATATTCAACATATTCATTTACCAAAATAAGTGATGCCTAAGTTACAAATTCAAAGATTCAACATATTCAATTATCAATATCCAAATCCTAATCAACATATTCAATATCCATCAACATATTCAATATCCAAATCAACCAAATCCTAATCAACATATTCAATATCCATCAACATATTCAATATCCAAATCAACCAAATCCTAATCAACATATTCAATATCCATCAACATATTCAATATCCAAATCAACCAAATCCTAATCAACATAATCGGTACCAAATACTTGATACCGCTACCATACCATACTCTATTGGTACGGTATGGTACGGTACCGAATATTGATCGGTACCGAATGAAACGGTATGAAATCGGTATGGTACGGTTCGGTTAGGGTACGGTTTCAGTATTTCGGTTTTAGATGCCCACCCCTATTTAAATACTTATTTTTGTATTTATTTTACGAATAGCATTTATCTTTTAATATGTTGAATTAACTAATCGGCATACATGGAATAAAAAATTAGAAAAAAACAATTGGATACAATTACGTAAAAGCAAAGAATAGTTCTCCTTAGCATTAGAAACTGATAAAAATGACAAAATACAATTATAAAATGACAAAGGTTCCATTCATTTCAATGACGTTGAATAAACCATAATAAAAATTCCTTTAGAAATTCCAACGCTTATTACCATTGAGTTGCGTTATTATCTTGCATGGCATTTCTCCACATGTCAGAAGCTATACCAACTCTCCATTCATTAGCATTCTCTCGTTGTTGTTCTTGAGTTTCAAAGACTTGTTCCACATTATCTCCTTCATTCCTTGGTAATGGTGAAGATGATGAAGACTCGTTCTCTGGTTCAATAGGAAATTCATCAGAATATTAAATGAAAAAAATTATCTACCTAACGAATTATGGGTAAAGAAACAATACCTAAATAATAAATTAATGGGTTTAAGGGCAAAAAATAATAATATAATATATTGTATGCAAACATAGCATATGAGAAAATCAATATAATAAACAAAGGGATGACATATCATTATGCAAATATGAGGAAAGGAGTAGAGGGAAAGTAAAAAGTAATGTGTGGATGTGACTAACCTGGAGGAAGATGACAAGATGGGATACCAAAGTGGAGCTCTTTTGAGGAAAACAGATCTGTCTGCGTGTTGCTTTGATATAATGAGGGAAGAAAGAATTGGAGACGTTTTGTTTCTATCTTCTCAACTTCCCAATAAAATATAAAGTCTGGTGTAAATTACCAAGACTTTTGGTAGTAAGAATTAGTTTCAAAAGTATTGAAAAGTCATTTCTTTAACAAAGTTTTTAAAAGTCATTAACATTTTGGATACCTCAAAACTTTTAAATACTCTTTAAAACTCCCAATTGAATACAACTAAACTTTTAAAAACTATTTAAAAGTCACAATTGAATACCTCCAAACTTTTAAACTCATTAAAAGTCATTAAAAGTTAGAATTGGATACACCTCATTTAGTTCCCAACTCTGGCGTTTGTGTAACAACCCGATCCATAATTCATTTTTTTAAAACCCAGAATTTCTTTTAAAAGTTAGAATTGGATACACCCCATTTAGTTCCCAACTCTGGCGTTTGTGTAACAACCCGATCCATAATTCATTTCTAATTAATAATTTATTCTGGAAAAAGACAATATTGCCCCTAGAATATTTAATTATGGGAAAAAGTTGACATTTTTATTGGGAAGGAATTTGGAAATTTCGATTGGACTGTTGCGTAGAGCACGTCAAGACGAGTCCGTAGACACGTAGTGGGCCCAAATCGGAGCTGTAACGAAGAAATGGCGATCAAGAATAGGCCAGTAGCATAATCGTAAATATTTCGAAGTTCAGTTTTTTTTTTTAAAACCCAGAATTTCTGCACTTGGGCAGCTCGACCAGCCAACTTTAGATCGTGATTTCTCCCAACCCCGCCCTCCGTTTCAAGAAAGACCGGTCCCAAAGGAACCACCACACTTTCCTCTTCTAGCCTCAGCCCTTCGCCGCCTCCATCCGCCGCTGTAGTCGCCGGAATCAGCCACGAAACACGCGGTTTTGGACAGATTTTTCTTAAACTTTCGCCGGCCGTTTCTCCCTCCTCCGGCCACCAAACAGGTCGAATAAGGTATGCTTTTCCACCTATTTTTCGAGCTCTAGCTGATGGTTGGGTAGGATTTGGTCGATTTGTAGCGTAGATAACCCGAAATTCGAATTGAAATTTGGCCGGTTTTCAAACTGAAATTCCGGCCACTTCTGGCCATTTTCGGGGTAGGTCCAGGAACAAAAGTGGTTCCAAATGAGGTTTTACACCTAGGGTAGGAATTTGGGCGGGCGGTTTGGAGTTTTTCCGGCCGCCGGAATTTACTCACGACAACAACGAGCTACCGGCGCGTGGGTCAGGTTTTAGACTGGCAATAGGTTCTAGAATGATCTCCTGGTCCTCACAAGCGCGTAAGTACTTTCGAATTTCAATTCGAACAACGTTTGAACCCTGAACAGATCTCGCCTATTGTGCGATTTTCAGGTTCGATATGTTTGAACCGTTGAATCATAGTCAATTTCATATATGTTGATCTAGATAATTCCAGGATCGTATAGGATTCGACGGATCGTAAAACGGAGTCCCGGATACTCTAGAAACGCCAACCCCTAGGGATAGGTTTATAGGAACTGTCCGATCGTACAATCGTGATTAATCCGACCGTCCGATCAAGAACAAACTTTTGGGACATGTGTCCTAGACATATTGGAACCTTTAGGGACTCTCGGATTTGTGATAGGAGGTCGTGGGCCCCAGTGGCGGAGCCAGGAATCTTACCACAAGGGGTCTTAGTGTAAAAATCCCAACAAATTTTGAACAAGAGGACACCAGTTATTCAGCTCTTTACACACTAATGTACCAGCAACTGAGATCTTTATACACTAGAATATAGTCTCATAAACGCACACACAGAACATGCATAAATACACACTGTATGAGACAGACCTTACCTGGCTTTTATTATTCTTGAAGGACAAATAAGGCGTTTTGTACATTATGAAAGATGGGCAATTCATATTATATTCACTCAACAAGACTATTTGGGGGTTTGGGGGAGGGGGGATTGGGTTGGGAACTTAGGGTTGGAGGAGAAAACAAAAAAATTTGGAGGTTTTAAAATGAAGGTATCGGTGCTGGAGAGGAAGGATACGCTGGGCATTTTCATATTTTTTTTAAAATTTCAGACCTGGCCCAAAACGACGTCGTTTTGGCCAGGTCATTTAAAGAAAAAAAAGAAGACCCACGCGCACAGCCTTCTTCTTCAGGTCGCACAACGCCCTTCTTTCTTCTTCAGTCATTTAGTCGAGCACTTGGTGTGCAGCTTCAAGAGGTCGCACCAGCAGCTCCAAGGGACCTCTAAGCTTATTTCCATGACTTCCAAGAGATCGTGCGACCCCACTGACCCCACTGTGGCTCCGCCATTGGTGGGCCCCGTGGGCCCGGTTGACCAAATTTAGGAGGTTGACCCCTCGGTTGACCGTGAGTCTTTCGAGGAAGTTATATCCGTTGAGAAGGGTTAGAAGGACCATGTAAACGAGTCATGACCGGGAATGAGTTATCTGAATCAATTTATCAGAAAAATTGATATAAAGGCCAGGAAATAGATTGTGAAATAAAAGGAAAGTATTGATATAAGTTTGAGATACGGTTTTTCAAACCCATCACAAGGGTACCCCCTAGTTGCTTGAAACAGTGTCATTTATATATAATGCCCCACGTGTTTGAGGACCCCTAAACCGTGTGGTGCGAGGATTGCTGCTCAGATAGAAGTGGTATCTCCTAGGCCTGCGAGGATTGCGGTTTGGATAGAAGTGGTATCTCCGAGGCCTGCGAGGATTGCAGCTCGAGTGGACTTGGTGTCTCCGAGGCCTGCGAGGATGGAATTGACGGATTAGGAATGGGGGTACGCCTAGGTGGAGAGAGTTTCAGTTCTAAGATATTCTTAAACTAAAATAAAGGGAGTTCAGTGTATAGCATATTTATATTCAGTATATGATTAATACAAATACTTGGAAGAACTATGTGTGGCTTGATCCCTTGTTAAGGGTACGTAGGCAGCCTAGAGTTAATAGGTGCAGCCGCAAGGTCAAGTAATATAAAGGTAGTCCAGTTAAGTTATTATGAAATCTAATATTGTTCTGAGGATGTTCTAAGAATTTGAATTGAATGTTGATAATAGAATAATTTATTTTAATTGTTGAGGCCTAAGGTCAAAGTGATATGATGCTTGATTTTCTTATATATAATTTATTAAATGCTGTCAATTGTGATATACATATATATGCTTATTTGACATGTTAAATTTGTGGGAAATGTTCGAATTACAAGGGAGACTCTGCCGAATTTTCGGCAAAGTTAAAGGGTAATTTAGTCATTCGTGCCTGGCACTCGCCAGGTGTCGGATACGCCCAAGGTTCGACTCGGATTCCAAAGAAGAATTTGGGTCGGGTCCTGTCAGTTTGGAAGTTGGGTGATCTAGGATTAGAGGG